TCATTCTACTCCAGTTGTAGAACCAAACAGGAAAACTAGGTTCTTTTTTCGACACAATGACACTGCTGTAAGCTCCGTCTGGTTCTATTCAAGATTACACATTTTCCCCATGGTTAGGTAAATTTTTTAACTATCAGGATTGCAACCTAACTGTCCAGGATACCCCGAAAACCCACACGGAATCCATTTTTCTCGGCATTTTGAGGACGCGTAAGTCTTCGAATGCTGCCACCTGAGATACGACCTATTTGAGCTGACTAATCAGCAGTATTTTGACCTATGCCAATGTTTGACTGACAAACAACTACAATTTTCATATAGTCGATCGTTAGCACGTAATCAGCTTTAGCGGCCTTCTTAGTACTCAGTTCTATTCGCATTTGTCGGAGAGAATACTAACTTTCCGATTTTTTGTCCTAATATTTCCAGCAGCCTAGAGGAAGATTACGACTCGTGCTGTCGGGAGTCAGGCAGTCGTGAGCTATTTTTGAAATAATAACTTGGCATGAGGACTGGTAGCCTATAAACAGTCCTGGAAGAGCGTCACGATTTCACATAGGCAAGCAGGTCCCTTATTCAACCACAGTCACTAAAACCACACACAGCATTACTCACTTTGCCTGATACATTTACTCGTACATTAATTAAGGATAGTTTCGACGGTGCTGCCAACAACAGCAGTGGCAGGAGCAGGGGTGCTAGTTTTTGTTTTAACCTCCTTTTCCACTCTTGACGACGAGCACACTTCCTTTGAGGTTCGCACTAGTCTTCTCTCTCCCTCTCACTCCGTAGTCGTCTTTCTCAAAAACAGACGCCCACAGAAACATACAGAAAATACTAGCGAAAAGTGCTGGCTCAGAGCGCTGTGTGATTGGCATTTTTCCAACTTGTAGCTGTCACAGTCTACTTAAGGAGGGGGAAAACGAAGGATGAACGACTTTTTCACGAGTTCCGTCCTGTTCTGGGTTTAAGTGACCATTCGGCATGACACATGAATAAAGGAATTACGTCAGATTCTTCTAAGAGATTTTAAAAAGATGTCTGAATCTAGGGGGTCTCTGGTATGTCACTTTTATTTGTTTTCGACATACGGACTCGTTTCTGTTTTCTCTGCAGCTAGCTTGACTATAACCAAATTGGCGTACTGTAGTGTAGAAAGATGGGCGGCCGAGTTAATGGTCTATACTTGTATTTATTATTAGGAGATGAATTTGGCAACTCATCAAAAGTATCGGAATGTACGAAACATTGCTGATTACTTGCAAACCGACACAAACGAATGGATCAAAAACCCCAATTAAAAACGAACAACTGTAGCCAAATTGAAAACATAAAAGGAATATTAAAAGTAATATTGATTGGTTTAGGAATAATAAGCTTTTTAAAGAGACTTGGAAATTCCGAAAACGCGAAAAACGGTTGTAACCGAACAAACTTAAATCTTGGTTGGCCAGAAAGCCTGTCCATGCAAACAACTGGGTAAATAAGAGAGCACAAGTAGACTAACGTTTGGAAATAGTCCTTTAGTGAAGTGTGCACTTAAATATCCTGTAGGAATTGATGCAACGCCAACTATGACGGTTAGCCAACGGCCTATGCTTTGAGTTTGGATTTTAAAACCTTTGCACAGAAATTTGCTTCAATTTTTCCGTCATACATTGTTTGAGACACCGTTGACCAAGGCAAACAGGAATCCGCACGATTTTGCCGATACAGACATCACAGAAATAAGAGTTTCCATAAGTTCTTATGTCGATAGGCTAGCCAGTAACTAATAAATTTGAATAGAATTGGCGAATGTTATCGTAAACGCATCATTTTATTTATGTTAGCAAAACTTTCCTTCCGTCATATTTCCTAACATTTTTTTCTTTTGCTGAAATACGCAGAGTATCAGATCGTCTTTGAAGTATCGGCTAATATTTCACGATTTTCAGTGTTTTCAATGGATTGTCCATAAAGGTAGGCTTTATGCTATGTGTGTATCAAAATTGAAAATAAGATATTTCTTGAAAGCATTTGCCGAAGTAGTGAGTGCTTTGGCATTCTTCCTGATGCAGATGGCTACTTGGGTCATATTTGTAAACTCACCCAAACATGAAATTACATTGACGAGAAAAATGAACGCCTACAATGAAATTAAGGAATGAATATGCTCTAAATCAATTAGAAATGCAACGAGACGACGTGTTCTCGAAAACTTAGACTAATTTCCCTGTACGGCGACTTGGATTGGGCCGGCGGGTTGACCATTTGCGAGTAATGATCGCGCAGTTAATGGCAGCGGCGGAGAACGATTAAAACAACCACATGTCGCATACAACGGGTTCGGGGAGCTCTACTTTACTGCCTTTTATAATCGTTCGATAAACTTCATTTGGAACTTATGCGATTGCAACATGGTCAATAAATCTTCTTGAGACATTATTTGCCCTCTTCTAACTGTTAAAGCGCTAAAATCAAAGAACTTGCCTACTGAGCAGATGAATTTGAGCAAACAGCACCCAGCTCACGCCGGAGACACTTTTGACATTTCAGCCAGACTGGAGGACGGCAAAAGGAGCCTCGTGGATGCGGTCAGGAGTTTACGCGATTGCCCCATGTACACCGGCGACTAATAGTCTAGACCTCCGATTTTTGGCTATTGAGGGCAACGGACAAACGATGACAAAAGTCTGACTGTTGTTCGCCTAAATAAAAACGAATCATAAAAGGGCACTTCTGACCAAGGTGGCTGAAAACTTCGAGTTTCTGATTTTTGGGGAGGATGCGTGTGCGCGTTTTTTGAAGCTCAAACCTTATTTGTCAAACTCTTATTCATGGTTCTTCTTGTCCTGAGATGATTCCTAGCCGCTACTGGCTCCCTGAATGCAGTATCGGCCTTCTTGCATAGAGATGTGAGGTACAGAAGGCAGATACAGTAGCTGTGCTATCTCACGAAATGTTAATTGAAATTCTGAAATATGTTTTCAATTCAAAAGTATTACTTAAGTAGAGTAGTAATGTTAAATATCATGCAGCACAATTCTAAGGCATTTCAGTCGAGCCAGATTGCCAACTTTGAGTGGACTTATTTTGGTCATCTGAAAAATCTACACTATGCAAAAATAACGACTTATTTATTATGAATTTTCCCATTTATTACTGTTACCCTTAGAAATTCAAATACACTATATAGAAAACACGTACCACAATATCCGCTCCATGGCTCATCTGGTAGTAGATTACGTCTTCTTCGAATTTTCTGCCTGAGGGAAGAGCATTTTTTGGTTTTAAAAAGCTTTTAATTATGGGATTTTTCAAGATCGCGAAATGTCCATTCATATAGCATCGCATCAGCACGTTTACTAACGCTGTTTATAGTATATACAACCCAGTCCATATCCATTGCACAGTTCTACGCGTCCTATATAATCTCTTCCTAAAAGCATAGGAGAATGTGTGATATCCCTTTGAGGGAATGCGTACAGCAGGCAATTTGAAAACCCTGTATTCAGGTAAAACGACACGTGAAGCAAAAAATATCCGGGAATTGAAAAAGTTTCTATAAACCAAAAATTTTCTCTCCTCAAGTAGAAAATTTGAAGAAGACATATGTTCTACCAGATGAGCTAAGGAGAGGACATTTCTATGAATGCATCATATATAACATCTCTGAATTTCTCAGGGCATCAGAATCAGTGGGAAAATGCATACTAAATAAGTAGTCATTTCTTTACAGAGTCTAGATTTTGCAGACGGCCGAAAGGAGGCTCATTCAGAGGCCGGCGTCCTGGCGTGACTGAAATATCTCAAGATTATGCATCAGGATAACTAATATTGCAATCCTTCTTAAGTTATCTTTTCGGATCAAAAGTATATTTCAGAAGTTCGGTTAAAATGTCATGAGATAGTATAGCTACGGTACATACGGTTATTTGGCAAGTCGCACCAATCGCCAGCACAGACAAACCAATCGTCGTTTAAAACACCCACTCTGGAGCACGCGATCACACAGGCATACACTGAACCGCTCGATCCTCGATGTAGTCAGCTGACACACTGCGCATGACGCACAAAATCACCAGAGATCTAACCTGTTCGTTTGAGATCACGAGATGGAGTCCCAGAACAAAAGGACGAAGGCCCGAAGACAGGAAAAGCTGTAAAGTCCTGCCAGTTGGTTGAAAATCTGCGAAGGCTATTTGTCAATCCTCTAGGTACTAAACTGTCTCCGTTGAAGGTGTGAGATTTGACAGTTGGTCATGACATGAAGCCATGCTCCGTTGTAGGTGGGATTTTCTCTGAAATCAAGTGGCATGCCAAATTCAAACTGGGTCATTTGCCGTCTGGGAGTACCTGTTTCAACTGTTCGGGAAGCCTGCTGGGACCTTACATGGAAATCCAATTTTGCTTCTAAAAATATTTTAATTGTCATCCGATTGGTTTAGAGATGAGCACAAAGATTTCATGTGAGGTTTGTTTGCCTTTGTTTTCTGCCACTTCACTATCTTCCGCGTTTTCATAGTCAATGGTGTCTCGATTTATAGGGGTCTGAAGGGCGGTTAAATAACCATCTAGGATATTCATGATAAATTGGCTAATTATCTACTGTAGGCGGATAAATGTTCCGATTCGTCCTCTTATGAGTATTTTTCGAAAGCCAGAAGCCATAGTGGAGTGAGCCCTCGCTCCCACGCGAAAAACATTTCTTCATTGGAACGGTAAAGAGACGCTATTGTTTTGGTGCTTATTCGGTAGCAAAAAGTGAATTCCTAACCCCTTCTGCGGTTTCATACATGGTGGTAAGAGGATTGTCAACACGTCTTATAACCCGGCCGTTATACAAAGACCACGCAGCGTCCATTTAGGGTTCTTTAGCAAGCTTAATGGTTTCTTTTGAGGAGTTCAGACCCACCAAGAACGAGACAACCGTTATCTCACATAGGGTCAACTATATTGAGCGTGGGAGAGACTTACACAATAACATAATCCTGACTCGACAACGAAGAGGTTTGCGATTAGAGCGTACAATGGGCGACAGTCCAACCATCGTTTCCGGTGATGTACACCATGTGCTCCACAGCAAGATAAGGAAGGTGCGGTGACTTGTGTGCGAATTCGTTTATAATAAGAGTAGACTTGCGTAGCATCTGCCGCACCTTCTCCTCCTCCTCCTCCTCCTCCTCCTCCTCCTCCCCCACCTGGGCTCGCTGTCGAGACATAGTCAAGAAGACCGGAGGCTGGAGAGGGCGCCGATGGTCGAGCCTGCACCCTGGCGCTCCACTCCTCACCCCCTAGTTCACACAGCAAAGGACCAGGATTTTAACCGACAAAAGGATGGGAGGAGGGCGGCAGGGGTCCCGGTGTGCGCGACGACTGCCGCCGGCTGGATCTGCATGACAACCCCGAAATTTTGGCATTTGTTTTCGTGGGCATTCCGATAGCGCCTGCCAGAATCCGATATGGCTCCGTGTTGGTCCAGTGCATTTACCACGCGCCCCGTTTCGGGGGCACAACGGGTACACACACAGAAGGACATAATAAAATCGTTTTTGGTATTCGAATTTTTGGTAGGGCACGGAAATGTGGAACCCCCTCCCCGCACCACAGGTAGCCTTGCGCCAAGTTCCCGGGGGTTGCCATTCCCGTGTTCTAATTTTAAGCCCAACCCTAACACTAACCCTAACCACGACCCTCATAATCCTCCTATTCCAAACCATAACCATCATTTACACATGCATTAGCTGCTTCCAGAAAAAATGCCCAACTTGTTGAACAAAACATCTACGAAGGGATTAATACTTTGCTAAAGATACTGTGAAATTCAAACTTATACTTATTTAATTGAGGCCTTAAAATTGCCGGTAGTACACATAAACAGTCTGCCTCCACGCATGATCTGAGTTCGCTTATTTAAGTAAGTGCTCAACTAGGAGCAGTAAAAGCAAGCATCTGCATTTTTCGAGGTATATCGAAGGGATGTGGGCTTTGCTTGTTCTGGAGGGCTTATTAGTAGCGTTCGTTTTGGCATCGACCTCCGCGGATGGAGTTCATTTTTCCGTGGAGCTCTAACTTCATGTGTCCGATCTCATCTGAAAAATAGAATATTGGAAGGAAACAGGAAAGCTCCCTCGCCGGTGCCTGTAGTCTGGTATTCTGAACACCTGAACCTCTGCAAAGGACCGTTCATACAGCAACCAATAGGCGACTTCGTAGTGTTTCCACGTATTTGCGCGTGAAAAATTGGTCGTGCCATGTGACAGTGAGCATGCAGCAGCTGGCGAACGAGAAGCCGATAGGTCTTGGTCGTTTGTGGAGAGTTGCGTTCCGAGGTACATGATCCAGGCCGCTTTCCGCCTCTCATATTGTCTGCGCCCGCGAAGGGCGCAGAAGGGCAGAAACTGCGAGCATGCGGTGAGACAGGGGAAGGGCCCCGAACATTCGCTGGCGATTCCGGCGACGACCATCTTTTTAGCGTTCGCCCGGGACGCAGATCTTTGTCCATATTTGTGAAAACAGATTACGTCCCTTGGACACATTTCAGTATGCTGCCTCACTTAGCACAACACAGACGAATCGATGACGCAGGACAACGTTTAAACTCCCAGTCATTATAGTTTATTTCGAAGGCCGTTGCACTCGCTCTATTCTACAGTTCCACTTACAAACCGAAGACATATAGGAAGGTGTCTCGACCTTATTTCTCAATGAACTGTAAGGACTTCGCTGTACTTAACTGCGTATATACAGTAGGTATGCTATCTTGTGAAATATTGACCGAAATTCCGAAATATGTTTTCAATTCTAATAGATTACTTAAGTAGGGTTGTCATGCCAATTATCATGTCGTGTAATGCCAAAATACCCCAGTCACTTCAGGATACCAGCTTTCAGACGAGCTTCTTATGGGGCTCCTGCGTAAACTACACTCTGTAGAAAATGGCTACCTATATAGTATGAATTTTTCCCACTGATTTTCGATGCCCTTAGAAATTCGAATTTATTTCTTAAAAAACACTCATAAGAATATTATTTTTTATATCCATTATGTAGCAACTTACATCTTCCTCAAATTTTATACTTAAAGAAAGAGCTTCATTCTGTTTTAAAGAACTTTCTCAGTCCCCGAATAATTTTGAATCTGACCTGTTGTCATACCTGCGTCGGGGGTTTCCAAATTACAAACTGCGCACTTTCCGTGTTGGCAAGGCCATGTTTTTTCCACACGCGCTGTTAAGACGAGGTCATATATGGCCCATAAAAATTTGCAATGGATGTGAACTATGTTGCCCACTTTATAAGCAGCGTTAATAAGCGAACAGATGCGATGCTATATGACATTTCACGGTCTTGAAAAATCCTATATTTGAAAGCTTTTGAAGAATGAAAGATACTCCTTCTTCAGGTATAAAATTTAAAAGAGGGTGTAATTTGCTGCGAAATGTGTAAGAGGAAGAATATTCTCTATGTGTATTTTCTATATGACATATGTGAATTTATAAGGGCATCGCAAATCAGTGGGTAAAATTCATACTACATAAGTAGCTATTTGCTATAGAGTGTAGTTTACGCAGGCGGCCGATAGAATTTCGTTCGATAGCTGGCATCCTGAAGTGACTGGGATATCTTGGCATTACGCGACACGATAATTAATATGACAACCCTACTTAAGTACTCAATTAGAATTGAAAACGTATTTCAGAATTTCGGTTAATACTAGTCGACAGAACACGGGAGCCGCTTCCAACCGGCAAATCCAACGTGGCAGAGAGACTATATTTCCCATCTTATACCTGTCTCCAATGGCAAGCCCGCACCGGAGGGTAGGGAAAACAGAGCTTTAACTGTAGTTTCAAAGTTCGACTCCGAAGCGCCGTCTGAATGGTAAACGACAGACCAGCGTTCCCAATGAGGCTGGTTTCAGAGCGCCAACAATCCCCGCGCTTACGGTTAGCCCTTGCCGGCGATCGCATTATGCCCAGCAATCAAACGCACCTGGCAGACACGGTCTTTCAAACAGGACGAAAAATAGATGCCACTCCACTAAACGGCAGTCTACTTTACCTTCTTTTTATGACTAATATTCGACAAAGGAATTATTGACGTGAGACTACTAGTTATTAAATCCAGGATCATAATGACGCTATTTGTGTCCACATTACTCCCAGGCTTTTGACGACGACATTGCTAAAACTTTCATGTATCTAAAGCTGAAGTTTTAGAATTCAGTCGGCGCGTTCTTGTACGATGCCTTAACTACAAAAAAGGGTTTCACACACCCTAAGGATTAACGAGACCCAACGCAGAAAGAACATACGGGGACATGTTATCAGATATAATCACTGCCTGTGCTAACATGCTACAGTCTCTGAGAGTCCAATGGCGGAGGGTAAGCACAGCTCCAAATCCCTTACTTGGTGTAGATAATTAGAGCACCCGACTGTGCGATAGAGGCTTAAGTTATCTTGGTCAAATTGGACTGGCGCCGCCTGTCAACAGGCGTCTTCGAGAAGCCTGGTGAATTTGCTGCAGATTCCGCCATGTGACCTGTTATAAAACAAATGACGTCTCAGAAATAGAGAATGCCTTAAATCTTTCATGCACACCATTAGCGTGAACACCAATGGCGAGTGGGTGGGTGCATGGAGGTACCTTAGATAGCACTTATTGCTCACCTCTGCATTCACGACAATCGCCACAAAGAGTGCACTCCCCACGCCCTAAATGGTAGGAAACTTTTTTGCTGCACGTTAAGTTTAGAAATCGTAGTGACCTCACCCCCACCTGGCGTGTGTGCGGTTACATACGCTTATTAGTCATGCACACAAACCCTGAAAGGTGGCGAATGAAGTGTGCGAAAACGAGAAGCGGGGATAATAGTTGACGACAGAGAAGGAAGGACCGTCAGTTCGTATACTGATGGGCTATGATTGGAAATATACAGTAGGCGACTGCTCTCATGAAATGCTAACCAAAATTCTGGAATGCACTTTCGCTTAAGGGGGATTACCTGAGGAGGACTGTAACATTAATTATCGTGAAGCATAAGCACATGACCTTTCACACGGACCAGGATGTTGGCTTTGGAGAGCACTTTCCTGCTGACTTTCCAAGTCCCTATAAATTCAAACATATTTTATAGAAAAAAACGGAAAAAAATATTCCTTCTTGTGCTCATTTGGCAGAGCGTTTCTCCTTCTGTTTCTTATTTTCCAAATTTTATACTCAAAGGAAGGTTTTATTTCGCTTTTAAAAGTTTTTCAGTGCTTTTATGATTTTGAGCCCTATTTGATGCCGCACTTGCATTAACGGGTTTCAAACCGCAAGGTAGATACTTTCTGTTTGAGGAAAATCATAAATTCCTCTATGCTATTAAGAAGATACTCAATCACGCTCATAAAAGTCTACTGTACAAGCGGACTATGTTGTATGCTTCATAAGAAGCATTAATAAACGGACGGATAAGATGCAACCTGAATGGCCACTATACCGTATTAAATCGAATTTTTTTAAAACCGGCAGATACAGTATCTTTGACTATAACATGTGAAGAGGACGCAAATTTCGATCAAATAAGTACAGGAAGGGGTGGTTAGTGCCTTTTCCATAAATTATATTTGTATTTTTAGGGACACTGAAAATAAATGGAAAAATTAATACCACATAAGTAGTGTCTTTATAGAGTTTAGCGTTTGCAGGAGACCGGAAAGAAGCCCGCATCCTGCCGTAACTGAGACATCATGGGACTAAGTCGCAAGATAATCACTGTTACATCCCACTTAAGCAATCCTTCCTAACCGAACAGGCATTTCAGAAATTCGACTAACATTTCCTGAGATACGCCACCCACTGTAGTAGTTGAAAGGACGCAAATGAATTGCTAGTTAGCGCAGAATGACCCGTCGCCTGTCTTGAAGACCGGCGTATTGACAGCGTAGCTCAGTTGGGACTGGTTTTTGCTTCACAAAATGGGTCCTGTTCTGTGACGTTCAACTGCATTTGTAGATGTTCGTAGGAAACCAGTCCTTGTCCTTCTTCAGTTCATTTACTGCCTTGAAAGCACCTAGGTAGACGGTGGACTGCGCGCACAGTTGTAGATGGGTACCGGGGTGCTCTGAACTCTGACAGCAGCTGATGGATCCAGCCTGTTGTTTTTGCGCCCAAGAACAGAGCTGTAACAGTATCTGGGTCGCCGTAGATCGTCGAGACAGACAAATTAAGT